TAAAATAAAGTTTAAAGCGTTAGTCACGCCCTACTTTACGAAACGCATAAGTTATCCTGTTAAAAATTGGGGGAACGCCGGCGCTTTATTTTCACGATCATGTCTCAACGTTCGTGTTTATGATGATTATTCATGCTGAAGATAGTATAAGATAGTATCTTAAAGATACCGATCTACAAGCTAAAAACTTTTTGAACGTTACTTTAGAACAAGACTTAAACAACTTAAATAAAAAATCAGAAGTTTTTTAAGGTTGTTCTGGACAGTATTTGGTAGCTATGATTTAAGATATCATTAAACAAATATGCCCTTGGAACACTACATACATTCTGAGTTATAAATGATCATTACTTATCAATCTAGAATTATAGTATTCTTTTGGACGATACAGCATGGATTTTATTTGTCCCTTGTGTAATGGGAGTCTACACCAAGACATCCAATTTATATATTTAAAGACTCCAACTTCAACTTCAACCCTCAAAGGTTTATATACATTTTTATAATTTATTCATGAGTTATTGAGGTAGTAGTAAAGCTTTTTTGTAATTCCTAAATAATAATAAAACATGTTTTGTGTGCTGCTTAAACATTGTTTTAATGGAAGAAGTACCAGAGATAAAGAAGAACGTATACAATCATTTGTAAGGTTAAGTTTATTATGAATATATAAGTATATGTACAATTGGCGTCCCCGAAAAAAGAAAACGATTTTTGGTTGTCATGGATTTTTTTCATAAAATTCATTCGTTTATTCCTGGTTTCGGCCAGTGGTGTTACAAATAGAGGGGAGAATACTAAGAATAAAAACAATATCATAAATCTATCTATTTTTTAATAATATTTTAACAAAAAGTAATATAAACAATATTCCAAATAAATTAACTTCAATTTGGTTTTGTACAATAATATTAACAAGTAGGTAAATAAAAAAAAATAACATATTGCTCAAGAAAATTGGTCTTTAAGTGAAATAGCTGCAGATTTAAATGCCTTCCCAAGAATTTTCAACAGCATTCCGTAGTTCATTTCGGTTCCCCGGCCTAAAGTCCCGTTGATTTAATTTTTTTACTATAAAACCCCACCGTTTTCAATGGGATTTAAGTCAGGACTTCTAGCTGGCCATAGAAAACAGTTAAGTGGTTGTCTAACTGAAGGTGGCATAACGTTGTCCAAAATCATCATATAGTGCTCAGCCCTTAATCTACCATCAATTTCCCAAACATATTCCCGCACCATGGACGCTTGTCCACGCCCAAACATTTATGGAAAAGAGTCCACTATTTGAGTAAGACTACATATGTTTAGTTCTCCTCAAATCTTGCGTCACTTGGACGATATACACTCAGCCTTCCATTATTGCAAGATTAGAACGTTTTTAATAAGAAAATATAACATAATTCAATAATTTAGATAGTCATTGGCGAACTGGACTCCCCTGCGCTTATTTTCGTCAGTTAAAAAACCTTATATGCATCAGCACAGTTTTTTAAGCCAGCTTGTTTCAATCTTTTTTGAGCTGTTCGAAGAGATCCTGGAAATTGTGTAACTGCGCTATTGAAAGGATTTTACCTAATGTGTGCGAGAAGAGCATTGTCTTCATTTTCGTTGGAGAATTTACCTACACCTTGCCTGGTCTTCTCAATCTTTGTTGTTCTTGACAACGTTTCTTGATATAAAATATGCAGCTTTTACTGACATTTAAATCTGCAGCCACTTCACATTTCGGGGACGCCAATTGATTACTTGCAAACATTGACTACAACTTTTCCAGGGTAATTTGGGTGTGCTGATTCCAAAAATACTATAATACTATACTACCATAATAATTTGCTCAATCAGCCTTTGTTTTCGAGATATTGTAAAAAATCGGTTTTTTTTCTCTAAATGATAACACTCAAATTCGTACTTATTTTTTAAATCAAATACTTTAACCATTGCTCATTAGGCTTTGAGTTCTTGTTTAGCTGAAAAATATAAATTATACATATTAATAAAGTTATTCCCTTAAAAAAACTATTTTTAACGAAATCGCTTTTTTAGTAAAAATTTGACAAGTTAAATGTGCAGTTTCGCCAACAATTTTTGTTAGATTTTAATAAAATTACAAAATTTTGTAGCTTTACTTATCTCAACGCAATCAAACGAAAAATGGCAAATTGGCACTCAAAACAACCGGGCGGGTTATATTTATATTTACGGTAATATTCGCTTGTACGTAGGAATTTCTAAATCTTGTGAACAAAGGTAACACCCATCAACAGTGATCATGCCACTGAACCGTGGTAGTTAATCATTACGAAAATGCACGTATTTTGTTTTAACCCTCAGTTTTCTTATGCTTCATTTTTACACAATTTTATAAATTTCATTAAAATCGGACAAAATTTTTTTTGCGTAACTACACTTTAAACTTTGAAAATTGTCGAATTTTTGCCAAATAATAAATTTTATTTTGTTAAAAACATTTTTTCAATGGACTTTTTAGTCCCTTAGTTTCAAAAGTATTGCACTACTTTGTAATTCCTTCTAGAAGTTAGCGCATTTAATGAAAACAAACTATCTCCTTTCTATTAGGTAATTGACTGTTTTTATACCATACAAAAGTTTGTTTATACTTAGCCAATTAGAAGATAGGAGGCAAAAAGAAAAAATGCGAATTTTTTTTTATTGACATGTAAATATGTGCAAATAATCTAAGAACTTTTAACACTTTACTTTTTTAGTACCTTCTATTGCCACCTCTGTTCTCTAACAATGCAAGAACACATCTGGGCATAAGTGTTCAAACGGTTACGAATCAATCTGGATAAATAATCCCAGGACCTGTTCAATGGAATTCATGTTCGGAGAAAGAGGTTGCCAATCCAATTCACTTGTCAATTTCACCTTCTCGCAGAAACTCTAGGATAGCTCTGGTTCGTTGTGGACGAGCATTGTCATCCATAAAGATGAAATTGGGACCTACTGTATCTCGAATTGGTTGAATAATAGTCCAAATGTTTAAATCCATGTAAATTTGTCCAGTCATAGTACCAGGAACATGAACCAGAACATTTGACCATTGAGGCAATAACCAGTTTTGGTGATCTTGAGCCCATCCTAACCGCGACTGTCTATGTCTAGGCATTAATCTCGTAAAGGTCTTCTACAAAGCAGGGGTGATGCAATGACGCGTCTTCTGATGGTGGCATTAGAAATAAGTTGGTGGTATGAAGCCTGGTACTGCCTTCGAAGACTGCTGACCGTGATGGGCCTGTTTCTCCTAGTTACTTGACTTAAATATCGGTCTTCCTTTTGACTCTAACTTCGATGTCTACTTACCACAGAACCCGTCTCATTATGCCTTTGAATGGTTCGACCATAGTACGGGCCCCGTACTACTATCAGCTATTTGTCGATGTGACAGACCTTCTTCAAAGAGAAAGATTATTTGCAATCGAATTTCATTGCTAAGTTGAGCTCTAGGCATTTTTAAGAGGATTTACAACAGTATTGAATGTTAAGTGACACGTACAAAAATGCAAATTTTGTTTAAGATAGGTAGCGAAACAGATTTACTTCTTCGGTTTTTACGGTGATTTTTTTTGGTTTCATTACAAAACATTTACGATTCAATATTTGTACTACTGGAATTCAAAAAATATTAATATTTTTATATTATACTTGGTGGTGCAAGACTATTGAAACTGAGTGTATATATTTATAATTTTAAACAGCTGGACAAAGGTACATATTTATTTTAAATGTATAAAAACATTGGATGACTTTTAAAAGAAGTAAATTATCTTAAAAAATAAAATATAACTTTAAAATAGAAAATAAGTTTTGACTAAAAGTGCCGTGACTTTCCGGTTCATGTATTTGGAGTATTTTTAAAGTTTACTAACAAAATATTGTAAAACATGGCATCAATTTTATGTCTATCTAAATGTATTTAAATATTATTGTTTCGTGTACTCCTATTGCAAAAATTTAAAAAATGTTGGGGGTTTACACTAAAACAAGACTAATAATGGGTTTTATGCTATATTTTATATAATAAATACATAACATTTATACACCTTAAGATTATGGAAACCATTTTTCGGTAATAATGGCCTTTACATTGATTATAATGACTAGTCTTAATACATCTATGATATTTTGTATAATTCTACACTATCTTCTATCAAGCCATACGACAAATACCCTCTGTTACAATATACATGACTATATACATTTAAATATATATAGGTACCAATTATAAAATTTAATAAATTAAAGTATAAATATTTTATGTTTATAAATAAAAACAAGGAAATACAAACATTAGTTACAGAAATATGACAAGTACATAACTTTCTTGAGAAATAAAATTCTGAGTATAATTTAGGGTTTGAAAATTATTTTTTTTATTTATATATAATTAAAATACCTAAAAGTCAATATTAGTTAGTATTTTTTGAATGTATAGTATATTCTTGTAACTAATGTTTTCGTAACATTCAAAATACGTAAAATTTTATCACAGATGTCGTGAAACGATTTGTGTTTGTCTTTACACATTTCAAATTTACTATAATAGGTATTTAAATATATGCGTATATACATTTAATCATTGCACTGGTATCGCCACTACAATATGTATGTAACAACAACAACAACTTAATACATGACTAGAAATATTATTCTTTGGTATTTATATACAAAATTTAGTTTCAATTTCCTACCGGAAATCTGTTAAGGAGAATCAATTTACATGAGACTTTTTTGATTGGTAATATAATTTTTCATATACGTATATTTACTTTCATTTTTGACAGCTTTTTGTACCTACAACAAAAAAATATTTTTGTTCATCAAGTTTGGGGTCCTATTATTAATAAATCGCGAACATATATTTTGTTTTATAGGAAATGATAATTGACTATTTTTTATTTAATAAAATGAAGGTATTTTTAATTAATTCATAATTAATTATAATAAATCTACTGGAAATATATAAGAAATCTAAAATAAAAAATTATAAACAAAAGCGTTAAATAATTAAAATAAAAAAGATTATTTTGCACACACAAAAATTACATTATTTTGTTTTGGAGGTTAAAAAACTTATTTATAAACACGATTTTTTATATCCTATAGGAATATTCTTTTATGTAACTAATATAACATTCACATCGTTAATTTTCTGGTCCAATCCGATCCAGGGGTTGGGTTGGAAACAGGTCATGCATAGTGAGGATAAGACCCCAACGGAGGTGCCCCTAGATGGGGGGCAGTATGATGACTTATTGAATGCGTACTGGCGGCAATATTTGAGTATAAATTTGCACTTGGATTAGTCCAGTAGGAACCCGGAGAAGGAAAAATGGAAGCTGGAATAAAAATAAAAATGTTGTTAATAATTAAATTTACCTGTAGAGAAATATATAATTTATGAAACAATTTAAATTATTAATTTTATTTTAAATGAATTAATTGACTCTGTTCCTTATTGAGGTGCATGTTCTCTGTAGAATTGTACTGCCTAACCCATGCGGCTGCTGGACTGTTAGCTTTTGACTCGCGAGATTTTATTTGTTTAGTTATTTATTTTCATGAAATTTAAAGGTTTAGAAAAAGTACTATTGAAAATTGATAATCAAAATTTTGTACACAAATATTACGTTACTTTAAGGGGTGCATAAAAGTATTTTGTGGGACCAGCACTGACGCTAATATTAGCTTTTAATGTTATTTGGTTATGTATCAAATAAGTTGAATGCAAACAAGTCGCCTGAATCTGTCACTTTCATTTTCAATTAACTTGGCATCTTTACTATGCAAATAAGGGAGAAGAAAATTTTAAACACTCATTATCAATTTGTAATATATTTTTAAATAAAATATTTTAGTTAACTTACAATTATGTAAACCCAAAATTAACTATTTTTTGTCATTAATTCGTAGGAATTATTAATTTGTTTTTAAAATGGCGAATGCGCCGGGATATATGTATTAGGGTGGCCTAAAAAAAAAGAATATTTTTTTTCTTCTCGTCTCTTGTGAAAATATGTTGGTTTGTCATGTTTTAAGAGCCCTTTCAAAATATCAGCTCGATTAAAAATTTTGTAGGGGTCGCTCAAGATTTTTAAAAAATTTCAAAATCGACAAAAATTGAATTTTTGTTTTATTTTAATTCTTTTTCTCGTCTCGATATTATTTTTTAGGTTGAAAATAATAAAAGTTCTGTAAATTTCAAATCAATATTTTGATTTCTAAAGGTCGCTAAAAGTTCGTTGATATTTATATTCAGAGGTCGCTCGAAAACATTCAAAATACTCTACTTTGAAAGTTAAAAAAATCTTGAGCGACCTTTAGAAATTAAAATATCGATTTGAAATTTTCAGAATCATTATTATTTTTAAATTAAAAAATAATATCGGAACGAGAAAAAAAATAAAAATAAAAAAAAATCCAATTTTTGACGATTTTGGTAATTTTTAAAAATCTTGAGCGACCCCTAAAAAATTTTTAATGGTGCTGATCTTTTGACAGGGCTCTTAAAACATGACAAACCAACATATTTTCACAAGAGACGAGAAGAAAAAAAATATTCTTTTTTTTTGGGCCACCCTAATATGTATGTATACATATTTTGTAGGAACATGGTTTATGAATAAAATTATTGTTTTTATAATTAAATTGTTTTAAATCCAATATTGAACGGATTTATACAGGGTGATTTAGCTTTGGAAGCAGGACTGAAGCGGATGAAGAAAGTAACTTTTACTATAACTATTTACTTTTTTTTTAAATTTACAAAAATATACATGATCAGAAAAAATAAATACCCACTATAAATACATTTCCTTTTCATATCAATGGGTTCGTAAAAAAATTTAGTCAAAAAAATTGAATTTGCTGGTGTATAATTTACAAGGGCGATATTTAGAAACATAAAGTTCTTTTTTTTTATCTGGACTGCGGCAACGTTGCAAATTTAGGGTTTTGGTTGATAAATACAGTTGTCAAGTTGGTCGCATTGATTAAAACAAACTAAGCTAGTTATAAAATCTAATTGTGGTTATGTATAATATATATATATATATATTATATTATACAATTATTGTAGGTTACATTGTGCAGTTGTCGAAATTCGTAGTTAAAAATGCAATTAATTTGGCTTTGGGGGTGCTTGGATGAGTAAAATGATTTTTACTAAAATCATATATAAAAGTAGTTAAATATAGGTTGCTTTACGGCCCAGAAGAGAAAGTATTCCTAGCCGATAATAATCTTCGCTTTGAAAAGAATTTATATAAAAGAAATTAAAATTTTTTGTGAACGTAAATGTTGTCCAATGGTGAATAATGTGAAAATAATGTGTGATGTAATTTATAAAACCAAATTCGTTACTTTTTTACTCCAAAAAATGTCCATAAGGCGATGTACTTTTTCTTCTATTGTGGCATTTGGCATAATTTCATCAAAATTAAGTTTTGCCCTCAAAAGGGCTTTTACATTCGAATTATCAATAATTATTATAATATAATAATATAATATAATAAATATTAGTGTCAAAGTATTTAATTAAATTCTTTAGCAGAAGTACCATTTTTATATACTAAAAATACCAAGTCAAACTGGCATAAGCCACCAACCTAAAAAAAAACACCAGATAAAAAAAATGAACTGTACTATTTGGTGTCCAGGAAAATACCAAGTAAAAATCCTAACAATTATTGTTTTCTATTTTTTATCCCTAATAATAATAATTATAATCATAATAATGATGATATGGTAAAAATATCGAACAAAAAATATGAAAGTTGTTATTAAATGTATATAATTTAGTACTATAGTATATATATATATACATTTACACTCACAGGCAAAATAATCGATCAACCCAAATTTTCGATGAATTTCAGTCGCGCGCGCTCGCAAATAACTTTTTTATTTGATTTCGGATTTAAACAAATATTAAAGAAAATTGTAGATAAATTAATGGAGAATCGCTCACTTTTTCTGTCCAAGTATGGGATGATTCAACAAAACTGTCACTGTCATCCTCCATAGGCTATGGATGGACCATAGCAACCTTAGTTCTTCGTACAAAAAAAATATTGAAAATTGCAATGTTTTCTTAAAAAAGCCATATTTTCCACAAAAATAAATATATCGAGATGAACCAAAAACAAAACTGTTAAGAATAGATGTGACTTGATAAATAAAACTTAATTTAAAACTACATACGGTTTTGCCACACTACAGAGTGTCTTAAACTTATGGTAAAAAACTTATTTTTGTTTAAACCTGTATATTATTTACGTACGACTATTTTTTAGTAACTTTTTAAAATGTGAGCGATTCTCCATTAATTTATCTACAATATTCTTTAATATTCGTTTAAATCCAACATGAAATAAAAAAGTTATTTGAGATTGAAATTCATCGAAAATTTGTGTGGATCGATTATTTTGCCTGTGAGTGTATTATAATATTATATTATATATTATTATTTCAAAAAATTTAACGTTATTATTATTTAATAACATTGTGATAAACCATCATTCGTGTTGTATGTGTTTGTATCTACTGTATTGTTAAGGTAAGCAAAGTAATTTTTTGCGCTTTGGTGTAATGTCACTCCTAAAAATAACACTTTCTAGGCTTTTATAGCACTCTTATTTGCAAGCAACACAAAACAAACATTTTTTTCTCGATTGTCCTCAAAACTTATTTTTGGTGGTTACAATTTTGTTCCAGCACATCTTTTAATTATTAAATATTAATATTATACATAAATCCATAAAAGTGTAATTAATCCAAACAAATAATCACCCTTCATTGCAAATTTAATGATTCACAGTGGCTTTTACAAAGGAAAAAGCTCATTGTTCTAGAGTTAATTACCATCGGCTGTAAGCAATAATTCAAAGAAATGTATCTTTAAGCGCTCGCCCCTTTCCCTGTGTCTATAGGCATTCACAGAATGATGTACATTCACATATCACGGCACACTGGATTTATGAGTGGCTTAATGCAATTCATTTGTGTTGTCATCGAACGGGCAATTTGGGATAATTTATGGGGTGTTTCATTTAATGCGCTACTAAATCGACTTACGGATCACTTGTATTCTTTTGTGTACCATCCCTAGCATAAACCGCATTTTTTCTTACTTAATTAGCACATTGTTACTAGTAAAGTGGAGAATAGTATATATACTGATTCTTACTTTTTGCACGCTAATTAAGAACAAAAACAAGTTGTTTATGAGAATTGGTGAAATCAGCAATGAAGAAAATAACCATTTTTGTCAAAATAATAGTAATAATAATAATATATTTATTTAGCCTCTGCTATTTAAAATAAGTATACATTTAAATATTTAAGTATATTCCAGTTAAATTTTTAAATATCGAAGAAGGGATAGTGACTCTTCACAAAAATTATTATTATAGTTAAATAATGTATGAAAACAAATTTAAGAGCAATCCATCGATATGATTCATTATTTAACTTAAAATTGGAATAAAATAAATTTTAATATATAATGAAATAGGCAATAAAAGCCACACAGTCAGACATGAGGCATTTTGTTAACAATATCTGAGCTTGAGAGGGGCCGCCACGCCAAAATCAAGGGTAATGGTAGCTAACTCAGGGAGGAAACAATAGACAATCAACGCATTACGTCATTAAGGGGATGCAAGTGTTATTTCCATTTCAAATTGTAGGTACGTGTTCACTGAAGACCGTGCTTGGAACTTGCAAAACAAAGGCTTAATAAGAATGAGACCTAAATAATTGGGCATTATTCATGAAGACCTACTTTAAAACTCGAGCTCGGCTAAATTATAAAGTTATTAAATTCTTTGATTAAAGTAAATAATTTTGCAAATGGCGTCGCCAGCCAATGGGCCAGAGGGGGCAAGATGATAGATAGAGGATATGAACTGTTTGTTTAATAAATACAAATTGTAGTTTTCAATGGAAGCTTCAGCTTCGGTCAAAAATGCCACCTTCGGCGAAACATTCGACTTCGCTGAAGTTTTAGCCTAAGCCGAAAATTTAAGAGGCTTCGGTCGGATACTAAACATTTATATAGCCTATAGCGCCGGCGGTCGATGTCGAAAGTGGGTAAGAATGCACCTATAGTCGTATCTTAAAAAAAAAACATTTTTTTCTCTTGCCTGTGAATCTGTAAATTGCTATATTCTGATGGCTCTAAAACCGATAGCCATGGAAAGTAAAAAAGTTTACCCTTTTTTGCTCAATTTCCATTTCCCATAGTTCATTCATTGTTTTCGATTTCTTTGTCCTTTTACCGGAAAGAAATTGGGCAAACAAAAAACATGAATTAAGTTTTACGTACTAAAAGATATTTTTCTACGACCACTATGTAAAAGTCACATTTCGTTATGGCATCCTTGCCACGATGCCAACGCGTTGCTTAGAAAATGAATCTTTCCATTGGCAAGGCAAATAATAAATAATAAAATAATAAAAGGGTCGTAGAAAAATCATTGTATTTCACTTGTGGGAGAAGCTTTCTTCAAGATCGTGTTAATGCACATTCAGCATAACGGCCTCGTGAGCAACTTAAACACTCGCATGAAAAAGTCTCTTTTCAACAAATAACTATTAACGTACTAAAAGATAATCATCATTGAATTAAACCAAAATGACCGGTCATTTTTTTAATTAAGAAAATACTTAATTGGTTTAAATTCGTTTAATTAAGTGAATCAAAATATTTTTTTATCCAAAGTGGTTAAGCGGCTAATTTAAAATCCATCCTAAAAATGTCAAAATATTTTTTTTCTACGACCACTATGTAAAAGTCACTTTTCATGATGGCATCGTTGCTTAGAAAATGAATCTTTTCATTGGCAAGGCAAAACACGAATGTAAAGTGACATTTCTGTGTGAAAAGTGACAGGTCTGTGTGAAAAGAACCGGAAAGCATCGTTTGGCATTCAGTTGTCAAAAAAGTTTTTAGGTTATTTTGTTTTGTATTTAAAAATAATAAAAAATAAAAGGGTCGCAGAAAAAACATTGTGTTATACTTGTGAGAAAAGCTTTCTTCAAGCCTAACGGCCTCGTGGGCAACTTAAAAACTCGCATAAAAAAAGTCGCTTTTCAACACTTGTAAAACAAATAACTATTCTTCTCACGCAATTTTTTTTATAAAAACTATCTTGGCGGCGCCCATGCTTGTATCAACCGTGTTTTGATTTAAAATTTAAAAAATCTTGAGAATAAGCAAGATTTGAACCAAACAAAAATATAGATCTTATTGTATCCAATAACGATTTAAAATGGAAAGACTTTTCGACAAAATAACATGAAAAATATTATTAGTATACTATATATACAATATTAGTATACTATATATACAATATTCTTACCTGCAGAACTTGGGATGGTTGCATGAGGGCTCATAAAGCCACCAAGCTTAGCACTATGATGATAGGAACTCATAAATAGCTCGCTTTGATATTTGTAGCTGCTTGGATCACTTGTCGCGGGTTGGGTGGCTGCGGCCAAGCCTTGGAAGTCAAACTTATATGCATATCTTTTTCCATGAACTTTTGTCATTATGTTTTTGTCATAGTAGTATCTGTAAAAAATAGATATCATAAATAAGTGGTATAGTGTTTGGTTAATCGTATTGTTAACTCAATAATTGTGTTTAAATATTACTTACTATATTTTTAAATAAATTGGGAAAATCATAAAAAAGATGACCAAAGAATATAAAAAAGTAATTTGAAATAAAATGTGACAAAGTATAAAGATAAGCGTTTAAGGACGTATTAACGTATGTATTTTAATGATTTTTACTTCTATTTAACCAATTACGAATGGAAAATGTAATTTTATGAACTGACCACTTAACTGGTCGTAAATTGAAATTGCAATCCAACATTTAACCAAAACTAAAAAACATTATTTCGCATCAATAGGCACGGAAGCAAATAGCATTTGTCACATTGCAGTGGCCCAATAAAAATTTTATTCACAGTTGCAAGAAAAAGAGAGTGTGTTTCAGATGGATGGATGCACTGTCATAAGGTCGTTAGTTTGCCGGGCTTTCCACTCCGGGGTGGAGTAATTCTATTTCTACCTTCATTTGTAGCAATTAGCAGAGGATAGCGGTGTAATGGGGTTATCGAAGGCTTTTTTCATTTTAGGGACGTGATTGTTTCGATAATGGGATATTTATTTGTTATTGGTGAAAGGCCCCTTTTTAATAAAAAATGCTACAATAAAGATAATTTTATCAGGCCAAAAATCGAGTTGTATTGTTTGAATTGTTCTAAAAAAGCTAATTAAAAACAAATAAATGTGGTTTGGCATACAATTTTACAAATTTATAATTAATATGTCACTTATGTCACAATTTATGTACGAAAGCCCAAACTATATTCTGGTTACCTAGTAACTTTTACTGTGTGATGCGTGCTTTGCATTCTTTAAATTTTTTAACTAACTAATCTAGACGGCGATTTTCATTAATTTTTTTTCGTCATTTTTTATTTTTTAAACTTTCTTTTATTCTTCGTTATTTTAAAATAAATAAATAAATTTCTAATTGTCATAATGCAGGTTAGTTGAATAACTTTACAAAATGAAATAGTCAAATTTTTTACTAATTCGAATAGAAGAAGTTAATTAAATCATTAAAAAAAAAGTTATTAAGTATATGCTTAACCCACATATTTAGAGGAAATATGTGGCCCACTGAAAGAAATTTTTTTTTTTTCAGAAAAAATTAATATTTTCAAAGAATATACGCGCGCGCCGAATTGTGTTCAGGCATTTACTTTTGAATATAATAAATTATGTTTGACCTTTGATTATATAATTTAATTTTTGTAATATTTGTAAAAAAAATTAATCGGTCACTTTTTTAATGCATAAAAAGTATGCTGAATTTTATTTAAAAAATAGAAAACATTTTTGAAAAAATATCGCTGTGGTCATGCTGATGATCAGCTGATCTAGCTTATTCTTAAGTTTGCTTTTTAACATACCCATAATTATATAAACTGTATTGTTGGGGATTTAATGGTGATTATCTTTAAATAATAATTTTCAAAAAAATATCGCTTTGGCCGTTTATATCAGATTCTGTCGGGTTAAACAAAGTTAAGTAAATATAAATTTTTCGTAGATTTGCTGAAACGGTGTTGCTGAATATTTTGATTTTATAACTTTATCGTTTGGTATAAAAATAATAATTTACTTTTTTTATTTATTATTATTTTTATACTAATTAACCGTGCGTCAATTAATTTTATATAAAACATTAAAAAATATCATTCAAATTTTGTTTTCAATTTTAGTTATTTTTTGAGAATTTGTCAATAAGTTTGAACTCGAAAAAAATGTAAACTCGTTCCATCTGGACGATTTTGTTGAAAAGTAAAAATTTGTAATTTTACTTATTGAGGAAATAAATATCGGATCTAACATCATATTAATTAATATTCTTACCGTAAAGCTCGGGACAGTTTGTCATAATTCATATTCGGTTTGGATTTGCGTTCTCCCCATCTTCTAGCAACTTCATCCGGATCTGTGAGTTTAAATTCTCCATTCGTACCTTCCCAAGTTATGCAGGCTGCATTCGAAGAATCACTTAATAATTCCAAGAGAAATTGCCAAAGTTGTATTTGTCCAGATCCTGAAATTTAATAGGAATGTTTATGTGTTTTATTTAAATTTATATAAGTATTAAGTAAAACCCTTGATTTCTGATTTAAATTAATTAAGTACCTTAAATAAAATATAAACTAAAGGGCAAACGAATACAAATTTACAGAATTTGTTTAAAAAATCATAAATTGTTTAAATTCAATTTTTTAACCTTTACTTTAATTAAAAAACTTAACAGGTATTTTTAAAATTTTAATTAGTTGAAATGCAGTATAAACTTGTCTAGTCTAATTGTCAAAGCAAGTAAAAACCTTAAAATTTGGTCATAATAGAGCATATAATGCTATCTAAAAATGAATTAGTTAAAAATTACTAGGTTTCATAATGAAAAAGCAGCAACTAATAACTGTTTCACAGCAATTTGAATCTCGGAAATTTAACAGTCAATTCTTATGTCCCCTGAATTCGAAAATACCGTCATAAATTATAAAAGTAAAACATATTTTTAGATACAGTTAATTTCAAATTATATGGAAAATTTACTTTATCTCAAAAACGGTTCTACTTTTGACATTTTTTGATTCAGCGGACAATTCTTAATGTCCGGACTACCAATTGCTGTTAACGAGAATTCTTAGTGGCTGCTTTTTCGCTATGACAATTGATCATTAACCTACAACTTGCAATATTTGATTTTTATCTTTGAAAATCATTTTGCCAGTTACATATAAAAAACGGACTATATTCAATAGCAACCTAGAATTTCACCCAATTATTTAATTGTCACCACTATTTATTATTCATAGAGATTATGCCGATAACATGGATTACACGGCAAACGAAACACTCATAAAATTTTGCAATTCAAATACTAGACATAATTTAATTTTAACTGGTACACACAAATTAATTCCAAAAGGACATGTGTCCAGGTTTCCGACCGGCAAAACCAGGTGTTCCATGGAAAAAGTTAAGTATTTAAATCAGTTTTGCCTCGACAACATGCGTTTGTTTCCTTCCGCCGGTGCAACATTTACATGTTTAATATAACTTTAGTATTTGTAAAAAGAATATTTAATATTATCATGATTGTGGGATTTAATATTTTTACTTACTTTAATTTAATTATAATTATATTAAACATAATAAAGCCAGGTTGTAAGAATAATTTTATCAAAATTGTGAATTGAAATTTTACAGGGGCCTAGCGAAGGTTTCGATTATAATAATTAATGGGGTAGGGGGAGATTTTCATTAAAATGATGACTTTTTAAAAAAATTTACCGACTTTTGAATCTTACAATGCAAAGATTGATTGTATAATTCTGCAAAATAAAAATATTTATTCGACTGCGTATAAAATTTTTATAAGGAACATGAAATAAATTTGTCTGAAGATTGATGGCGTAGCTAGAGCATTCTGTCCAATGTACGACTTTTTCAAATTTAGTGACTATCAATTTAATTGACGCTTGAATCACTCGAAAATGCTATAGCTAATTCATTACTCGGCATAACCAAAATTCAGGAAAGAATTTCATTATTATTATTTACTTTCCCGATTGAAAAATTTAACTGACAAATTTAAATTTGCGTTGGTAGCATCAAAATATTGTTTGTGTGTACAAAATAAGGACTCCAAATTACGTTTAAATACTATTTAAATCAGTGGTGTGTAAGAAAAACATTGCGTCTCAAGCATACAAATATTAGGAAATTATTATTATTTTTTTAAGTTTATATTATTTTTAATTATTATTAAGTTAATATAATTGGGGAAAGTGAACATTTGGAATAATAAAGCACAAAAGATTTAATTTACAATTCCAATATTGTATCAGAGCCGGCTTAAGGCAATTGAGCGCCTTAGGCACTTAAAAATTTGGCTCCTCTAACTAGATACTATACTTACGGGGCCCGGGGCAAATTTTAAAAAAGCTTATTAGAGCCACCCCAAACTGTTAGCTTAAGGGCGCCCGAGCATTATAACCTAATTATTCCCTATGAATTAGAATACTTTTTATCATTAAAAAAATACATAAAAAAAATAATTAACATACTAACATAACAGATATAATGTAAATAAAAAGTGTTAGGACTTATAAGTGCGTTTTTCTGCAAGATGTCATTAGTAAGTATTTAAAAAAAATTAAATCAACTTTAATTTTCTGTATTTGTATGTTAGATGTACTGCTGGTTTATTGTAATTAGTTTAATATTAAAATTTCAGAAATACCTTAAAACAAACAGAAAAATTAACACTATCTAAATGTGGATTTAGCCAGCATTTTGTGTAACGTAATCTAACGTAACGTAATTTAATTTAAAAGCCAGGCTAAATCAACCTTGACTATCGAACACAGACTGCTATCACCAAACACACAACACATAGAAGTGCCACTCTTGATTAAACGCGAAAACACCCAAGTCCTTCCGGCAGCAGTTTCCTCTAGTATCGCGTACCCGCTGGGGTGAGCAGCACATCACAGCGGGTACCCGATGCAAGAGGAATCCGTGTGCTTGGAGCATACGGTGGTTTTGAAATAGTTTAAAGAGTGCTAAAGATATGTTTATACAGGGTAAAGTTTACAAATTAAATTATCTTATAAGTTTTTGTTTGCAGTTTAACGTTAAGATTTATTATTTATGCAGTTTAACGTTAAGATTTATTAATAATAAAATATCTTATTCTACTTCAAAACGCAGTGCCCTCGTAATCAAGCATGGTGATATAACACCTGATTAATTTTATCTGAAATACATTTATGTATTTGGCATAAAATCAGAAGTGAATTTGCGGCACGCTTTTTTGTCGGCCTTACACCTCGTTATTACAAAGAAAGCTAAATTTTTATAAAATAATATAAACAGTAAATAATATTCTGTTATTAAAATTGTATATTGTTTATTTGTTTTATTTTTGGAAAAAATAAACATTTTGGTAAGAATTTTTATTTTTTTTTAAGTTTGTCCCCAAGCGCCTATTTCTACGTGGCGCCTAAGGCAATTGCCTTGCCTGCCTAATGGGTAATATGGGCCTGTATTGTATGTTCTTTTATAATTTATCGTTAACATGACACCTCAAAACAAACAATTATTGTATAATTCTAATTAAAAATAAACTTGGTAATTTTTAAACAAAGCAAAATCGAAAAACGCAAGAAACAAAAATTATTATTTTGTGTAATAATTGAGGAGCATCCGTGCAAAACCGGCTAAATCCATTTTATTAAGTTTTGGTTTTTGTTTTATTTCGCATCTTTGGGTTCATTTCTATCGACAACCAAGATAATTCAGTTTAAATCCGACTAAATCCATGTTAAAATCACATTTAAAAGGTAGCTTTAGGAGCAAAACCGGCCAAATCCACGTTTTTATAGCAAACCCGGCTATATCCAATAAATAATAATATGTGGGTTGGATATGTCAATACTACTACTAAAATTTGTTCTGTTTTTTTTATGTTTGCACTAAATTTATTTTGTTAATATTTTTGAATAATAAAGGTTTTTTTTCACATTTTATTCGGTTTTCGAGCAAAACCGGCTATATCCAAAACATTTTTTGAAATTTTGCCCTTAATATAAAGTTTTTGAAAACGAAAGTATGTCTTATAAATCAAGTACCACAAAGCCCACAAAACTCAAGTTTGCTTTTTCTTTTATCTGTAAAGGCCAGGAAACCGAGACTTTTTGCCATTTTCCCAACATTTTATTAAAGTGGATATAGCCGGTTTTGCATGGATGCTCCTCAATTATTATGATTTATTAATATTATGATTTATTATTATTATGTATAATAATTATTATGATTTATTATTATTATGATTTGGATTTTTTTTTAATATATTAAACAAAATCTTATTAAAGGATGTTAGTTTACCCTATCACTTTTAGCATTACTGCTACTGTTTTTGAAAAAATAATTATAAAAATTAACCTAGTTCTAAAGCTTTTGTTTTACACGACACTGGCCTACCTAACGTGTAAGCGGTTGGGGTTGACGAACTAAGTAGAGTCGATCAGTTGTTTAATTGTGATTTACTACTGCTGTCGATGATTTAGTTTAGTATTAATAAAATTTGGATTATTGTAAGGAAATGTTAAAAATTTAAATAAAAAAAATATTTTTAGTTTATAAAAGTTCGTTTAGACTATAGTTCACTTTTTTAATTTAAAAATAGTCATTTACCAGGAAAATTTTACAAAACATTTATAATTTAGATTTAATTAAATTATTATGATAAAAAAATACACAAAGAGATTCTAAAACAGTATTTAATTTTATTTTTACCCCTGTTATAACGGCTTTTTTCCACACAAACAAACAATTAGCGTAACTTTATAAATCATTATTGGCGTATATAAAATTACTGGTCATATAAATTATTAATACCGATAAAAAACGATTTGGGGGTTAATTCTGGGAGTGGCTGTTTTAAGTTAAAAAGATTTAAACACCAGCTAATGCATGTTTAATGATACCCTTCTATTCCGATTTAGCTTTTGTTTCACAGGGGGTGACTAGATTACATAACCTGGGGGTGCCATACCTTGCATAACCTATAAATTTGACACGCGTTCGTGAACACGTGACTGTTTGTTAGTAATTACCTTACAGTCATTTATTTGATTTGATTTTGGTTAAACATGCAATTATTACGTTTTTATTTAAAAATAATAAGTCGCCCAAATTGTATTTTATTGCCGTGTGCTAATTTTTATTTGGCGTTTGTAATTTGGGTCTTCCGTTTTTTTATTTTATTTTATAACTTCATTTGTGCAATAAAAATGGACAAATAATTTGTTTTAAAAATCGTGTGCCTGTCCAAATGCGTAATTTATTTTAGATTAGCCTTACCTGAACTTGCTAAACGACTACTGGTTGGTCCAAACATTTGATACGGATCTGAAAATAAATCATAATTAAAAATAATTGTTATAAATTTTACTTATAATAGTAAAGACAATTAGCAAAATATTACTTTATCTGCTCCTATTGCATAATTTTGGGTTTTTTTCTGCCTAACAACGTGAATAATAACCTCATTATTCAAGTTGTTAGGCATCAGTGATTGGCCGATTGCAATATTCACTGTGATTTGAAGCAATCAGGTTTTAAATTGGGAGAAGGTGACTATAATAACATTTAAAATTGGTAAAAAGTGAGGTTAACCATTTGGCAGATTTTATTTATTTAATTTTGATAATCATTTAATTATCTACTTATTACAGTAGATAAAGTATAGTATTACACTCGAGATTATGCGCAATATTCACTCGGATGATTTAGGTCTCTCGTCTGGCGACTCGAGACGTAAACCTCATCCTCATGAATAATAGCCTGCATTATTATCTCTTGAATGATATACTATTATTATTGATAAAGTGTAATGTGTTTGCTTTAATGTAAAATAGAATTTTACATTTTAAATGTTTTTAATTTCAAAGGACAAGACATGTGATTGCAATAGGTAGGTTTTAGATTTTGTTATGGTGAAAAGGTTAAGATATATTTATATGTGTATACACGGAAAAAAAAGATTTCTAAATGTAAGAATACCTTTATTCTTAAGAAAATTCACTTGATTTAAGTATAATTTGGGCTACGAATAACTTAATCTTGTTATAAGAATAAACCAATCCTTAAATTAAAAAGATTTTATTTCTTAACTTAAAATTAAGTACAGTTGAAATAAGATGATTGACCTAATATTTTCAAGACTAAAACTAACGTTAAACTAAATAAAAATCTTTTTTAAAACAAGCAGATCTTATTCTTGCTTGTTAAATGTTAAGAAAGACTTTAGATGAAATAATCTTATTCTTATTTTAAGATTAACAATCGATTAGACTAAATTTTAGAAAATTCCCTCCAAGCCCATTCTATTCTTAAAGGGATAAAACTATACTGGATATAAATATACTTATATTTATTCTAAGAATAGTTAATATTGGTACGACTGACCTATTCTTAAAAATATTCCCCACTCCCGAACGTGTCCGCTAACCCTGTTTGTGCACGGAAAAAAATCCCTTACTAGGTTTAAGAATAGTTCTATACTTCATGTTAGGAACTTGATTTAAGTATATTTATTATTTCTATCAGATTAGCGTACATTTAAACTAAGAAATGGGATATACTTAATTTTTAAGAAAAACTGTTACTTGATTTGAGATGAGTATTCTTGGATTGAGTTTAAAGGTATTTTATTTTAAAGAAAATTGGTATACTTAAATCAAATATACAATAATGCTTGGATGAAAGAGCTCTAGTTTTTTACTCAAAGCGGAATATTGCCACTTATTTTAAGTATTCTGTATATTTGTATGAAATTTCGGTATACTTTATTTAAATATATGTATATTTAATACAAGAATGCTTATACTTCAATTTAAGTATAAGACCTCTAGAACAAAGAATACACTATACTGTATTTAAGTATAGCTATTATTAAAACAAATACCTAATTCTTCGCTTAAGTAAATACCGTCCACCCTCTAAGACCGCTTCGCTAAAAGAAAAGACGCAGTTTCTGTGTTCAGTTCTGTCGTGTGTTCTATGGTGGTAGCGTGTGTACGTGTCGGCGCCGGCAGTTCGTTTTTTCCGTTTTCGGTCTGGATGTTATTTTTAATAAAAAATAATGGAGAAGAAACTTTAAAATTGGGGCTTAGAATGTTTACTAGACACATTTTTGGGTAAGTAAATAATATTTCATTAATTTAAAGTAATTAACTAGGCATGATCGTAAAAATGTAGTGTAAAATGGATAGGTAAACTGTAGTGTAAAATGGATAGCATACGACAGGTAATAGACAATAGCACATAAACAGCAGAAAGGCTATAGCCTCCAATTCAGCTTTATTATTTTTGTTTTAGAAAACGAGATAGATCTCGATATTACGGTAAACCTAAGCGAGGAGAATTTAAAGGAATTAATTCCAAAAATAGGATTGAGGATCAAGTGTAGACAAAAAACTGAAGAATTAACACCAAACCATCTACGATGATAATGGTAGCCTTCTTAGAGACTCATTTTACAAATTATTTAGCTGGAGATAAATACCTACTTAAAAAAATAATAACTATTGTGATTAAAAACCTTACCTTTACATATAGCACCAACAATGTGATACCTAGGTACTTAAAAAAATAAAATGTAAAATATAGTATCTATGTTAATTAACCATGAAAGAATGAATTTAAATAAATCGACAGTACTTTTTCTAACACCTCTAAGACTGTAATAAACCTATTGTGATATCAGTGCCTATTATACTTAGTACTTTAGTACATTAAAATAATATGCCAAAAATACTGTTAAATTACTGTCATAACGATTATATTTTCACTTTCACTTGTATTTTCCGTAGTGGTAGGATAATTAATACAAATATTTTTCAGGTTCACGAATGTTTTTTTTGTAAACATTATTCCGAGTCGCTAGACGAGGGAATTTTTTTTTCTAATCAACCACTTTCTTTAAGAATAGTGTAGAGTTATTTTAAATATATACTATACTTTTATCAAATATAAAAAAAGGAAAAGTAAGAATACAAGCATTTTATGCAAGTAAAGCGTGTACTTACAATAAGTATAAATAAATAAATTTTAAAGAAAGTATATTCTTAAAACAAGAATACTGTAAAGATTTTACAAAGAAACTATACTTTGATGAAGTACATACTAACGTTACAACAAGAATACCGTAGTCTTCATTAAAGACAAATTTGTATACTTAGCTCAAAATTAGTGTGTTTCTTATTTTTAGTATAGCAGTAATCTTAGATTAAACCGAAGCTATCTTTATTTTATAAGAATATGAGGATATTTGAAACAAGTATAAATTTACTTGCGGAATAGGGAAACTAAGCTATACTTGGATAGAGTTGAATTTTCTTGGAATCAGTATAGATTTTTTTGCGTGCACATGTGTAGGCGTTTTACACAGCGTCAGCCCAAAGAATTGCGTCAGCCCGGCAAGTATTGTTTGTTACTATTTGGTTGAGTGTTTCGTATAATATTTGTTTTAAAATTATGGAAGAACTGCTTGATAAGTGGAATTTAAAAGAATTAACCATCAAATTTATGGGTAAGTAATAATTATTACATGTAATGCATAATTCCATTTATGCGTGTAGTATTATAAATAATTTTAGCTGTTGGAGTGATATTAGGTCGGCCGGGGAATCACATAAAAGCAATTATGTATATTTTACCTCTGCCGTGCGGTAGAGTATAGGTAAAACATTTTGGTTAAACAGGCCAATATGGCCAAAAAATGTCGGTCTCGCAAACAAAATCAACGTGTCTGAAGGTTTGAAAAAATCATTGCAGTATAAAATATATTATATTATATTATATATAGGTAGGTAGGTATTTGAAACATTGTAAAAAAGTTATGTAATAAAGACAATGCTATAGACCAATATAATTTTTTTCTGGTTAAGTTAAGCAATAATTGTTTCAAATATTGTCTATTCTCTTTTTAACTTTTGCTCGACTTTAAAGTTTAGGGTATAATGACCATGTTTATTTTAAAAGGTAAAGAGTGGATTATCCTATCTATTTGTCTTTATCAGTCTTAGAAAAAAAGAAAAAGAATAATCCACTCTTACCTTTTGAAATAAACATGGTCATAATATCCTAACCTTTATTTAAAGTCAAGCAAAAGTTAAAAAAAGAATAGATAATATTTGAAACAATTATTGCTTAACTTACATAAAAGATACCTTATATTTAATCCAAAAGTAAATATTGTAAATCCAAGAATTATAAAATTTGTATGAAAAAATACTTATTCTTAAATTAAGCATAGTTTATATTTTATTTGAGGGTGCTCTGTTTAAAAAAAGTATTGCTTACATTTAAAACAATGTGATAGTTTTTCTTGATATGAGAATAAGTTTACCCTTGCAACTAACATTGAATTTATATCCAAATAAGTATAGGTTAGTTCTTGCATTCAACCCACTATATTCTTTAAATAAGTATTAATTTATATTACAAATAAAAATAAATCAATCCTTGAATGAAAATTAGCTATACTTGCGGAATGGTGAGATGAACATATATTTGGACCGAGATGATTAATCTTTAATATAGAATAGCTTTTTTCCGTGTAGAGCAATGTTGGATGTGTTTCAAATTTTTGACGTTTAATACGGATATTAAAACTAAAACTTCAGATCCTATAACAAGTACACGAAAAAAATTGTAAAATATATTTTCTGTACAAGTAAAATATACTATTTACAGACATTGCATGTGGATACTAAATTAAAGTTTATGACGGGAAAGTCGTTATCCAAGAAAAACAAAATATTTGGTTTTTGTTCATACCTAATTTGGAGTTAAAAATATACATATCATGCACTACAATGGGCTACAAGGTGCAGTTAGACAGAAAATGTGCAGTGGGAAATCTGTGCAGTTATTTTTTTATTTATTGCGAACAAACCAAATAAAATTAATAAAAAATTGAACTAAGCACTAAATATAAACACTGAATTTTATTATCTCTAGACTCTTCGCTTGCTTTATTCTTATTATTGGCCATAGCAAAAATACTTTTGTAAGTATATACCAACTTTGTTGTTTGGCCTTTGCGGTTGCTTTGTTCTTACGATTTTGTTTTTAACCAAAGCATTGTCCCATATTGATAAGAAAGGCAAGTTGTGATAAATATACAAATATTCATTTTTAGAATCTACCGACAAGCAAAGGCACCAAAGGCACCTTTGACCTCTATCCTTAATGGTGTATAATATACACTGTATATATACGGGCAGTCCACGCCAAATCGGCCAAGAGTAAGACTTCATGTTTCCGATTTGCTTCAAATTTTCAGGGTCGATAAAGGAACTAAAGTAATGGAGAAATCTAAAATTTCAATCTCTTTTATGCAT